TATTAACAGCGCAGGTTAATAAGGAATTCGGTAAGTATCTACTTGTTTTCCGTATGGGGTTATGTTGATATCAGGGGCTAATCTCTCTGTGGCTGAAGTGATGGATTCTGGGACTAGTCTGCAAGTGTTGTGTAAGCGCATCGAGATGGCGGTGATCGCCGCCCAGCCGGATGATACCACTCCTCCGCCACATCTGGTACCGGCTGGCGGTGAGGAGTATGCGGTTTATACCAACGAATCTCTCTGGACTGCCGCTGTATGCGATTGGTTGTTGGCGGCGAGTACTCCCCTAGAGACGACTCGGGTTCAATCCGCGGTTGGGGCGATTGTTAAGAAGCACCCTTCCTTACGGTCATACCCAGCAGATAAGCAGATGGATGAGACCATCAGTGTCCTTACTAAGGCTAGCGCCTACTTCCATCTGCGAGGCTGGGGGAAGGAATCAAAATTCGGCACACTGCTCAGCTGGTGCGTGTGCGAACTGTGGCCGAGAATCGCGGTTAAGGCTGATGACGAGGGGCCGAGGGTTATTGAGTGCACGTATGATATGAGCGAAGCGAAGGATGTCGTGCGATGCACTGATCGCCTTTGGAGGGAGTACCCGTTCGAGCCACCATTCCAAGTTTTCCTACTGCGGCCTGCATCAGGGGAGGGTGCGAATTATCTGTACATTAAGACCACCCATTTGCTGTCGGATGGCTACTGTGTATTGCCGCTGGTGATGGATTTTGAGAGGTTCATCAACGAGCCGGAGGAGAGCCCAGTGGAGCTCAACCCGTACTGCATACTCCAGAAGCGACTTAGAGATACTATCGAGATGAAACCGGGCATAGCTAGCGGATATAATTTCGAGCAGCAGATGGAGAAGTGGCAGAGTTGGGATCGGGGGACGATCAAACGACGGACTTTATGGCTGGAGAAAGGTAGGGAACTTTCGAGTTGTCGATGGAGCTATCGCAGTTGACTAGATACGGTTGAGGCCTTGATGGTCGCAGGACAGGATATGGCGGTTTCTGCTGAGGTGAGGTTTTAGTATTTACTGGTGTGTGGGATTGGACAGTTGGGGATTTGGCCCAGTTATGGTATTGGCTGTAGTGCTGTTGTCGTTGTCGCGGTTCGAGCGGTGGGTCGTGGGTGTCCCTTGAGTTTGATGCAAACTCTGC